CTAGGTGATCTCCAGAGGTCCCTTCCAACCTTTACCATTCTGTGATTCCCTTTCCATAAAGAGCATATTATGCAGTAGGAGCTTCACTCTGCTGATATATTGATATATTTACAATTGTACACAAAGTAATTTCCTCTTCTATTTTTTCTTCAGAGGCCCTGCACCGCCCCTATGGTTGTGATGTTGAACCCCAGGCACTGAATGAAGCCATCAGATGGAGCTCCAAGGAGAACCTGCTTGGAGCCACTGAGAGCGATCCCAATCTCTTTGTTGCACTTTACGATTTTGTAGCAAGCGGTGACAACACACTCAGCATCACCAAAGGTAAGGCTGTGCATCACGGAGCAGCTACTAGGTTGAAAACTTAGTAACGTAAAAGAGAAAGTAGAATCATTCTCCTGTCATTCCATTGGAAGGAACTGGGAATGAGTGCAGTTAGAGAAGACCGTTCTCTAAACTGACCACTATAAGCACATGGTCTCTCTCTCAGTTGTGTTGGAGAGACACCTGCCGGGCAGTTCTCCCAGTACGGACACAGGTTTGTGTCACACTGAGGAACAGTGTAGCCCAGCTATGGCTATACCCATTCTAGGCTTCCCAGATCATCAGCCCTTTGAGACACCTATTTTGGGGAGGGGCAGAGGAAAACCTTAACATTAATGATGATAATAGAATTCAGCTTTCAACTAGGGAAAAATCCAGAATTAATAATTTCACAGAGATTTTGTTTCTATTCAGTACGTATATCAGAATATGACCTGCTGCAGAACTGTTCTAAATCACATGCCATTTAAGGCTTTAAGAAGGAGGCAAACCTCATCCTTCCAAGAAAGAAAAGTCTTTCTAGTCTAAAACTCTGGACTACAGGAAGTTTTCTGAGTTCATCAATCACACTGCAGTAAATCAGGGAGCAGCATCCTCAGTGTTCTGTCTGAAACTTTATTTCATAAATACTTTATATATAGGAGTTTAATTATAAGATCACTGCTGCAGATTTTTATTGTTAAGCTATAAACCCAGGCTTAGCCAGCTGATGGTGAGTTTCTCCCTTAATGAGACCCAATAGATTGCACTGTGTTTATTCTGCTTTTTTCTTTCTGGTCATAGGTGAGAAGTTGCGAGTCCTGGGTTACAACCAGAACGGTGAATGGAGTGAGGTACGTTCGAAGAATGGGCAGGGCTGGGTACCAAGCAACTACATCACACCAGTGAACAGCCTGGAAAAGCATTCATGGTACCATGGGCCAGTGTCACGCAGTGCAGCAGAGTATCTGTTGAGCAGTCTCATCAATGGCAGCTTCCTGGTTCGTGAAAGCGAGAGCAGCCCAGGGCAACTATCCATCTCGCTCAGGTACGAAGGACGTGTTTACCACTACAGGATCAATACCACCTCAGATGGAAAGGTAAGAATCTCTGGATAATGCTTTGGGGAGAGGAAATAAGGATATTAATTAAGAGGTGATCCAAAATCTCAAGTTGCAGACTGTTACGAGAGGGGTGTACGTGAGAGAAAACAGGTCCACTGGTTGATTAATATAAAAAATGAACAAGCATGCCAAGAGTTTGGTGGTAACTGGCTGAACACCATTTTGGCAGAAGTGCAGATGGCACTTATCGTGGCTGAAAGCAGCTAGGGAGCAAAGCAGTTGTGGTTTGATGTGGTATCTTTCCATTGATCCACTTAGAACAAGTAAAGCATTGTTAAGTCAGCAGTTTTGATCAGCATTTTGAAACCTTGATAAAATAGCAGAATAACATGTGTTGAGTGATACAGAAACTGGCCTTGTGCTTGGCTACAAGAATTCCAGTTGCTAGTCCTGTAAAGCACGAGGCAGGAGACAGCACTGCTCTCAAGTGATAGCTTATATCTAGCTGCCTTCTGCAGGTAAAAAGCGCACAGATTAATATTCATTTGCCCAACGACATGAGAACAGGTACTCTGAAGTCTGGTTCCCTTACCATCTGGGTTTTTTAAACCTCCTAGAATGTTACTGTACCTGTTTTCCGGTGTTACTGAAAGCTTCCCGCTGCCTTCATTTAAGTAGATTCCTGGTTTGTTCTTAACAGGTGTACGTGACAGCAGAAAGCCGTTTCAGCACACTAGCAGAGCTAGTGCACCATCACTCAACAGTAGCAGATGGACTGGTGACAACTTTGCATTACCCAGCACCCAAGTGCAATAAGCCCACTGTCTATGGAGTGTCCCCCATCCACGACAAGTGGGAGATGGAGCGGACTGATATCACCATGAAGCACAAACTTGGGGGAGGGCAGTATGGCGAGGTGTATGTTGGTGTCTGGAAGAAATACAATCTCACAGTTGCTGTGAAAACATTAAAGGTAAGTTTTCAGATTGATATGCACTGTTTGTTTGGTCACCATTTATGATAAGGGTAAAGAAATGGTAACGTTCTCAGTTATACCTCCTAATGATAGAAATATCAGAAAATGGAGCATGCTAATCTGCATAAAATCCATGCTTAAGAGTAGCTTTGCAGAACAAAGTTAGCTTATCAAACTTGCACTAGTGCATGTGGCCTAGGAACAGTTTGGAATTTTGGCCCAGCAAGCTCCTGCAGGAATGTCCAAGTCAGATCTGTAGAAATGGTTACCAAGTCCACTTCCATGCCCTCAGAAGAGCTGTGGAAGCTTCAAGAAAGCAAAGGTGTTGGAAATATCTTCTACAGCCTCTGCCCTACTCCTGGAAAAATTCAGCTTCTCCATTTATCTTCCTTTTCAAAGCCTTCTCTTTGTTTCAACATTAACAGCTACAATTCTATGTACCCCCTGAGTAAGGGAGCTTTCAAGCTTAATTTTTATAGCTAGGCAGGGGAACTTAAGTCAGTGATCCTGAGAGTCTTCCCCTCACCAGCCACAACTGCTTCCAAACAAGAAAGCCTAGCATTCTGGGTACTGCAGATCTGTCACTTGGCCATGCTGCAGGCCAGCCAGGCAGCTTTTCAGGGCTGTCATGTTTTGCTTTGGTAAAAGCCAAAACAGCAGAATGGAGCCATCGTCACTTATATTCAGCTCGGATATTGGTCACGAAGATAAATTTTCCCTTCTTTTGCCTCTCTGTTTATCTAGGAAGATACCATGGAGGTGGAAGAGTTCTTGAAAGAAGCTGCTGTCATGAAGGAGATCAAGCACCCAAATCTAGTGCAGTTGTTAGGTTAGTGAAATTCCTTGCTCTTTCTGTTCTTACTTGAGTTTCCACCAAAATGAGATCTGTCTTGTTTAAAGCAGTGGCAGATTTTCTGTACTTATATAACTTTTTGAATCAGGTCAGGTTATGGGGTGGTATTTTTGACAGCTTACTCCTTTATGTCGTGTTGGAGCTAGGAGACATTCATTTTAAATAAAACATCAAGTATAGTCACTTACATTAGTAGACAACTTTGCTGATGAGGCACATTTATGCATTATATAAAAGTTTGCAATATCCTGTTAGTTTGTACCCTTGGCCTTAGACATGCTCCAGGGTTCAGTTATCAGGTTCAGTTTCCTTTTCTACTGAGTTGAATCGTATTTACAAAACTATTTTCCATGACTTATTTTTCTGATAGAACAAAATCATAAGAAAATTCAAAGTGAAAGAAAAAAAGTTATATTGGAAGCACGACAAATACTGTTCTTCATACTTCTCAAATCAGAGAAGTTTATAGAAAAAGCTGCACAAAATAGAAAAATCAGTCCATAATTAAGCAAAAGACGACCAGATCGCTGCTGTTGTAAGGGACCGTGTGTATCACCCAATAAGTACATGAGATCAAGGCAGTGGAGATGCAAGTCAGATCAAACAGCACACAAATGGAAGAAATCTGCAGGCTTTACAGCTTGGCTGTGCCCTGTTTGTCTCACTGACAAATGCATATGATGATCACTATTAAATAGTCTGCATAGCTGTTAATTCTACATGTACAAAGATTCTTAAGGAGACATCCTAAACCTTTACTAGTGTTTAATTGCCTCTGGACTTTTGCTGCTTTCAGGAGTGATGCTGTCAAGGCAAGCCTAGGATGAAAGGAGAAATGTGAAGAATGCGAAAGCTTTTAATAATGGCAACTATTCTGTACCCATTTAAAAAATGGGCACAGATGAAGCGTCTGCCCAGCCCTGTCTGGTTGCAGGAGTGGAGACTAAAAGATTTCTCATCAGAGGGATGCATTTTTGCTCTTTCTGCTGCACAGTGTGGTTTTACTCCTGTATGTGTGTAACGGTGTGAGCAGGCATTCAGCAGTGCTGCAGTGGGAGTTCACAGAGATTTGACATGAGTGTCCTGTCGCCCTCCTCCTCCGCTAATACATACTTGGTACATAACTGTAATGACTGTAGCAAGTAGTCATCTGAGGAATGTGTGAGAATGCTGCTTTAGGAGCAGGTCTCACTGTGCTGATCACTTACTCAGCTAGCACGCATGGGAGTGCTTCACATTACTCTGGAGTGACATTTCGGTCTGGAAATCCTGCCAATTGACAGGTACCTCCTTCCAGTTGGCCACTCTTCAGCTTTATGAAGGAAGAGAGGGGAAGAAAAGCAAATTGTATGTGTTCAGGATAACTCCTATTTCATTCTGTAACCCTCCAAAGAACAGAACAACTCCTTCATGTATATTATATAGGAATAGCAGTGCTTTCATAGACATGTTTCTCTCCATCCGTAAATGGTTGGACAGATAAATAGACAGAAGCACTGAATTTTAAGTTGGGCTGCGTTGAACTAGGTCTTGCAGATGGAAGTCTTCAGTTTTCAGAGAAACGCTCGTCAGTACAAAATGCGCCAAGTGGATATTAAATCAGGAATAGTGGTAAGCTAGGGAAGAAAGGGATTTATTCACGTTCTCCCTCCTCCTCACTGCTAGGTGTATGTACCCTGGAGCCACCCTTTTACATTGTGACAGAATACATGCCCTATGGGAACCTGCTAGACTATTTACGGGAATGCAACCGGGAGGAAGTGAGTGCTGTTGTGCTACTCTACATGGCCACTCAGATCTCCTCTGCTATGGAGTACCTGGAGAAGAAGAACTTCATTCACAGGTGGGTAAAGTCACATCGAGCTGGTACAGTTTCAGATTGCAATGATGAACAGGCCACCAGCATGGTGGCCCAGGAATTCCTCCTTTTGGGGAGGTTTCTTCCAGAGTTTGGTTTCACGCTGGCTTATCTATTGGCTGTTTTGGTTTCAGTACTGTCTTGCAATACACTCTACCAATGACTTTCATAGCAAACTTACAATCTTGTGCACGACTACCTGACAGCTACGAAGGATGGCATTGACCTGTTCCAATGTCCCCCCCCACGTGCAAGACATTGTCAACTCTTAAGTCCTATTTTAATCCAGTCAGATAAAGCCATGCCTTAAAACTGTTAGCAGTGTGTGATGAGCTGCTGATCTCATCCAGTTGTCAGGAAACATAAACTTCTCATCATAACAGCTATCTTTACAGGAAATTTAATAGAATTTAGAGAATGAACCCTAATCTTGACTCACCTTATTGCTTCTAATAAGTCCGCTTAGTTTCTGACACAGCTCAGAGCAAAGCTTCCATTGTCTTTACCTGCTGTATGAAGAGAGTGCTTCCCAGTTCAGAAAAGAGGGACAGGCTATGCAGCCACAAGACTGTATTCAAAAGCTCTGCCCTTGCCTCAGTGAAGGAGTGTGCTTTTTTCCTTTGTACAGGGACCTGGCAGCACGGAACTGCTTAGTTGGAGAAAATCACGTGGTGAAGGTGGCTGACTTTGGCTTAAGTCGACTTATGACTGGAGATACCTACACAGCTCATGCTGGAGCCAAGTTCCCAATCAAATGGACGGCTCCTGAGAGCCTGGCCTATAACACCTTTTCAATCAAATCAGACGTGTGGGGTAAGAAAAATCCACTTCAATGTTCTTTTCTTTTTCATTTTGTTTTTCTTTGCTGGCCTAGACAGTAACTTGCTTTCTGGCCTGGGCGGAAACGTGTGGGGAGGAGACGGGTCACGTGCCAGGCCACAGCTTCATGAGTCAATAGCATTTTTAGCAGGTAATGTCTTCACCTAGAGTGGCCTGAAATATCTGTAAGAAAACGAAGCTGCCTCAAGCCGCAGTAAAGGCCACAATGTAATGAGCAGCACAAGAGGAGGGCAGACTCATGACCAGGAATTTTGCTTTCCTCCTTTGCAGCCTTTGGTGTGCTGTTATGGGAAATTGCTACCTATGGGATGTCGCCATACCCAGGCATTGACCTCTCTCAGGTGTATGATCTGCTGGAAAAGGGCTATCGGATGGAACAACCAGAAGGGTGTCCTCCGAAAGTTTATGAACTGATGAGGGCATGTGAGTATCTTCTTCCAGTTTGGGGGACAAAGCCTAGGAGGGGTGGGAGAAATCTGTAGTCAACTCTGAAGTCCTTGGTTCTTATGTGCCATTTTGTTAGCTCACATGGAAAAGGCCCCGTCACCTGATCACTGATGCCAAATGACTCTGGTCTGTGGGGAACAAGAATTCACTCTCAAAAACTGTTATTCTGAGTACAGCTAGATAGCACTTTGTGGCAAATTGTACTGGTGTTTTGTCGGTGGGACTCTTACTATGGAATCACAAGGTTAGAAGGAAATTTATTTCTCTGCAAACTCAGCACCTGTGCAGGAGACATGTGGTTGCCAAGATTGCACAAAATCCTCCAAGCACACCATGAAAAGCTCCCTAATGCTCCATAACAAATTGAAGATCTATCCATAAAAGGACAAAAGATACAGTGTGGTACAGGAAGACGGCAACCAATTTTAAGAGCATTGCCGATCTTCTTCAGTCCTGCAAGAGCTGTGAATATTTTGGGCAAAGGGCTGAAGATTCTAGGGAGCAAACCAGACCTGTTGAGTAAGGTAAGCGGCTCCCAGCAGAGAGACCTTGTCAGCGTGACCAGGGTGGGAAGAGACTCGTTGTTGCTAAGTCAGGCAATTTGTGTGGCCCTTGGTGTACAAGACAGACAACCCGGGGCTTAACAGGCCATGCTACAGCCTGTTTCCAGCGATGCCTGATGCCCAGCATGTCAAAGTAAGTCAGGGTGAACTTCAGTTACAAAACAAAGAAACTGAGTAATGGTGAAGGATTTTGCTTCAAAAAACCTTCAGGAGGCTGACAAAAGCCCAAAAGCAAGGAATTAATGTAATATTAATGTAACCCAAAATGAGCAGAATGCCAGTCACTTTCCAGACCCTGTGGTGATATCAGCAGATAGTGCTTCCAGAATTATGTTCCCCTAGTGCAGATTCTAACTACAGAAATTACACATTTTGTCATAACACCCTTCTAAAACTTTCCAAGCTCCATCTCAGAGCAATGCACTCTCTTCCTTTTTCCCCCAGGGGGTGCACACATTCTCCTTCTGGAAGACTCTGCCTGAATTTCAGTATTAAAAGCATGTGAGCAGAATGTTTCCTGGAGCTTTGCAGACAGAATTATCTGTGACTGCGATGGATGAGTTCAGTCCACCCAGCCAGCGTAGCAAACATGGAATTCTCCTTTGCTGAAAAAATTCAGGACGAGGGGTGCGGAGATCAGAAAAAGCTGTGGAGTTGGCAGACAGCTGGGGTTTTTAGAGTTGGTTCCTTCCTCTCAAGATCTGTTTGTTAGGATGTGGTAGGGTGACTGACTGCTGCTGTGAATTAATACCTATGCATGACTCCAAAGCCTGTTTAATAGTAGGAGATCAAAGCCTGACTACAGCTGAGAAAGCTTAGGTGTTTTCTGTCTCCTTGGACAGAATACAAATTCATCTCCTATGTATTTCAGGCACTGAGACTTGCTCTTCTTTCTCACATTGCAGGCTGGAAGTGGAACCCACCAGACCGACCTTCCTTTGCTGAGACCCACCAGGCTTTTGAAACCATGTTCCATGACTCGAGCATCTCAGAGGGTGAGAGCCCCTGTTGCTTTATTTCTGAAAGGGTATTGGAGGTTAGACCCCAGAGCGCTGTGTCTTATGGACAGGCCCTTAGGGCTCATCTGCTAGCAGTGGAGGTCGTGATGAAGCTTCATCCTGTAGTTAATTTCTTAACCGTTAAGTGGGTAAATAAGGTTTTCTTACTTGCTGCACAAATACTGAATAAACTTCAGACATATACCAGTGCAGGGGACAGTATAGTTTCATTTGAGTGCTAAGATGCCAAAGAGTTAATTTAAAGAATATTGTCTCCTCTGTTAGAGTAAGCCTCTTGTTTCCCAGACTAAAGAGTAAGGAATAGGGAGTGATGCTGAGAGAAAGATGTATGCATATCACAGTCCCTTGCTGACTGCAGCAGTTAGGTCACAAACTATTATTCTACCAGCCTTCATTTTTAAAAAGTGTGTCTTAATCTCTGGATTTTCTACTTAGCTACTTCTAGGAGTGAATCTGTGCAGCTCAACTCTCAAATATAATCAACTAGGCGGTAAATACTGGTGAGATACTCGATGGCAGACAAGCAGAAATGTCTGAGCATCTTCTAAATTTTTAAATTAAATTTGAAGCTTATCCATCCACTTCCCTACTACAGAAAAAAACACACCAGATCGAATTCTGCCAGGGAAGGTCTATCATAGGCACATCAAGGGGTCCACACAAATGGCAACCTGGGTGTGTCCAGGAGGTTGTGGGTTTTTACTGTTTCTTTTCAATCACATACCTTGTGTTGATGTTGGGAGGGAAATGTGCAGTCTTCATTTCTCATAGCGAGGTGCAATGCTTTGCCTCAAGCAAAGCAGCTTAGCTCTAGATCCGGAGAGGACACAACTTCTGGGGGATCCCAGGAGCATCAACAAGAGGCACCTTAATTGAAAACAGAGGCAGATGCATTCAGTGCTTTTGAGCAACCCTTAACCCAGGAGAGAACTGGGTTTGTACCAGACCTCTTGTACAGATCCTACCACTGTTTGGGTTTTTTTGCTGAATTTATAAAGATGTGAATGAGTCTGAAAGCATTATGAAAAACATATTACTTACCCTGAACAGCTTTAGGTTTGAGGAAAAACTAAATCCATAAACTACATATTTCTCAGACGTGTATCTCTTCTTGCCAGTCTGGGTTTGCACTAAAGGCACAGATTTTCTTTTCCTCTGACGGTCTCTGTTTCAACTATTCCTTTTTGTTTGTCGTTTTTTTTTCCTTACAGAGGTAGCAGAGGAGCTTGGAAGAACAGCCTCCTCCTCATCCATCGTTCCTTACTTGCCCCGGTTACCCATGCTTCCCTCCAAGACTAGAACACTGAAGAAACAGGCAGAGAACAAGGAGAACATTGAAGGAACACAAGATACTGTGGAGCACTCAGCTTCCAGCTCAGCACCAGGTATGGCCACTGGGACAGGGGCAGTGAGGCCACATGTTCTGGGATAGGCTTGCTGCTGGTGTCAATGGCCAGAGAAACAGAAGAAAAGAGGGCAATGTGACATGGGAAGGTGCTTTGTGCTGCTTTGTCATTAAGGCTGTTGGCCACTTCAGCAGCCCAGTTATTTACTGGCAAATAGAAAACACTGCAGCTTGCTCAGTGTTCTTTTAGCAAATCCCATTGTATTTTTTTCTTTTAAATTTAGTTTTGCTGCTTTTTTTTCAAAATGACAGCTTCAAAACTAAAGTTGACAATGCAACAAGAGATTTTCTTTTATATGCGTGGTATTTGGGGAAGGGGGAAAGAACTACAGGAAGGGAATAAGAAGCTGGAAGAAAGGAGCAACTCCACTTTCTCCTGAACTCTCTCATAAGCGTCCTCCTTAGTATAGACAACTGACAAGTCATGCATGCAGAAGTGGAAAAAAAGGTAAAAAAATCAAAAGCACACTGTCCTTGCACAAAAAGGAAAGTGCTGACTTCCTCAGTCTCTTTGCAGAACCTGAGCAGCTAAGTATGCTAGGCCCATAAAGCCCACTACAGGATAGGGTGGTGGAAATCACAGAATGGTGGAGGTTGGAAGGGACCTCTGGAGATCACCTAGTCCAATCCCCCCGCTAACGCAGCTTCACCTAGAGCAGGTTGCACAGAACCACGTCCAGGCAGGTTTTGAATATCTCCAGGGAAGGAGACTCTACAACCTCCCTGGGCAGCCTGTTCCAGTACTCACAGTAAAGAAGTTTTTCCTGCTGTTCAGGTGGAACTCCCTGTGCTCCAGTTT